TCATAGCAAAACTGCAGCAGCAGTGGCTCCCACAAGTTGAGCCAGTGCGTGCCAGCCCTGCACTGTGAGCATTCGGCTCCCAGTGGAATGAGGACCCCGACCACCTGTGAGTCAGCAGGCCCTGAGTCCCCTAACTAGGAGCGGAGAAGTTGGGAACACGCCAGGGCAGGATGTACCCAAGTTCCTGGTCCTTTGACCTTGTTCTCCTATAGCTTCATCCCGTCCTGGTGCCTTATCTAGCGTGCCTGGCCTGACAGCTCTCAGCACCTGGCCTGATGGGGAGCCCAGGTCCTGGAGCCAGTCCCTGGGCTTCGGCAGGGAGCCACCGAGCCTCTCCGTGAGGCTCAAGTTTTACACCTTATCAGGAAGCTTGGCTGGTTCAGTCCTGGCTCTGCCATTTCCTGCATACAGGACTTTGGGCGAGTCACTGCTCAGTGCTTCAGTTTCCTGTCTGTGACTTGTAATAGTGCTGTACATCTACCAAGTACTTCCTAGGCACTCAGCACAGGGCCAATACTGTTCCCAGCACCTATGATGCCTTAGACCCTCAGGGCAGAAGTCAAGAAATCCACGCTAAGGTTTCAGTACTAACCACACCCATGCCCTTGGATCACTTGGTGGATGGGTGGACTGAGTCCAGACAGCCTTAAATGGCTTTTTTAGGACAAAGTCTAGTGGTGCCTAGGCTTGCCATCGAATTCACTGTGTATCTGAGGATGACCTTGAACTCCTGACCCTCCTGCCCCCCACCTCCCCAGTGCTGGAATTGTCATTGTGTACCGTCACCATACTCAGTTTATGTGGTGATGGGGATGGAACCCTAGGCAAACACTCTGCTAACCAATCTAAATCCCTCTTTTTTTTTTCTTTTTTTTTTTTTTTTTTTTTTTTAAAGATAGGTTCTCAGCTGGTATGGTGGCACACACCTTGGGAGGCAGAAACAGGTGGATCTCTCTGCGTGAGTTCCAGGCCAGCCTGGTCTACATATCCAGTTCTAAGACAGTCAAGGCTATATAGTGAGACCCTGTGTCCAAAAAAAAAAAAAAAAAAAAGGACAGGGTCTCGGGTATCTCAGGCTTGCTTTGACCTCAGCAGGTAGCTGAGAATGACCTTGAACTCCTGATCCTCTTGCCTTACTGTCCTGGATCACAAGTGTGCACCACCTACAGAGCCTGGTGTCCAAGGAGTTGCAAAACCTCATGACATGCGTTACAGAGACAAGGCAAACATGTGACCAACTGTGCTGTCAGAAACACGTTGGTGGCACACGCCTTTAATCCCAGCACTCGGGAGGCAGAGGCAGGTGGATCTCTGTGAGTTCGAGGCCAGCCTGGTCTCCAGAGCGAGTGCCAGGATAGGCTCCAAAGCTACACAGAGAAACCCTGTCTCGAAAAACCAAAGGAAAGGAAAGGAAAGGAAGGAAGGAAGGAAGGAAGAAAGAAACCAGTGGCCATTAAGAAATACCTGGATCAGGAGACTGAAGTAGTGGGTTTGAGACCAGTCTGGGAAATGTGAAGGATCCAGAGAACTACAAAGTGAGACATTGTCTCCAAAAACAACAACAAAAAAATGTAGCCCCTACCCAGAAATGTTACATTGCAAAACAGTGTATCTCAGAATCAGCCAGATGAGGTTACTACTCCTATCCCTGGGAGAAATCGTCGGGAGTCAGGAACATCCATTGCAGATGTCTAGCCCAGAACAAAATAAAATCCTTCATAGTTTGTCTGTTTGCAGTGCTGTGGATGGAAATTGCCTTATCAATGTCAGTTAAGGGCTCTAGCTCTGAGCAACCTCCTACCGACCATTAGTTAACGGTAACACTGTGCCATACTCCAAGTCCTTCACGGGGGACTCCTAGGCTAACATCTCAAGCCCTAAGCAATATCCCTTGACAATGGCATCTGTAAACAAACATGTGAAAGGCTACCTAGCATTAACAAGGAAAGACAAAACAGCTATGCTTAGCCCTACAGGTGACTCTCACATATCATGCTATGTAAAAAAAATACATCATGATGACACACTGCACGGTTTTGTTTACAGAAACTCAAAGCCTGGGTGCTGCTAAATGTTTGTCTTTTAGTTGCTTTTAATTCCATCCATGCAAATTGTTTTATGGATTTTCTTTCCCCCTTCCCCCCCCCAAGAAAGGGTTCCTGGCTGTCCTGGAACTCTCTCTGTGTGTAGACCAGGCTGGCCTCTGCCTCCTGAGTGCTGGGACTAAAGGTATGCAGCACCACTGCCCAGCTATGGATTTTTCTTCATGCGCAATAATCTCAACATTTTCTGAAGCCACTATGTGATCTCTGGGCCTTAACAACCCCAATAGACAGCTTAAAAAGAGCTGGGGATCTGGGTGTGGTGGCATACAGCTATAACCCCAGCACTTGGGAGTTTAAGGCAGGAAGACTGAAAGTGGCCTGGGTCATCACATAGGGAGACTTCCCCCACCCCCAAAACTAAGAGCAAGCTAGTTAGGCCGGTGGTAGTGCCTGTGACCCCAGCACTAGAGGTAGAGGCAGGAAGGCGAAGAGGTCAAGGATGTCCTTGGCTCCTGGAATGGCAGGTTAGCCTGGATTAGTATGGGCCTGTGTCTCAGGAAAGAGTGGGGGGATAGCCTGAGGCTGTCTCAAAGCAAGCACAACTAGCATCAGCTAAGGACTGTGCCCAGGATCCCACCACAGGTAGAAAAACTCAGACTCTCGTAGACCAGGCACAGGAGGGCCTTACCAAGTTCTCCAGGCCAAACTCCTAATGCAGGAGGCCCAACTCAGGAAGAGAACAGCCAGCCTTGCTCAGGCTCCAGCCCCGCCACCTCCTCAGTAGAGCTCAGCTGCTCCTGCCTGTCACCAACCCTCCCCCTTCACCCCTCTAGACTCAGACCACACCCCAGAAAGGGAGGTGGGTGAGGGGCCCTGCAGGGAAACCCGACTCACCCATAGTCACTGAGACCATCGTCTCCCTGGCCTTGACCCTGCTTCCCGGAGCCTGGAAGAGAGAAGGGAGAGGGCCCATTCGTCAGCCCACAGAGAGCCTCAGACTCCCGGTGTTGCCCGCCTGCCTGCCTGCCTGCCTGCCTGCCAGAGGAGCATTCCTGGACTAGGGGCTCACGACCCAAGAATAGCCTGGAGCAGCTGGCAGGACGTCAGCCTGGGACAAGGCTGCCACCACAGCTATCAGTGCTGCCTGCCTGGGAAGGAGCTCAAAGATGGTGTCCTACTCAGGGCTCCCACTGCTGTAATAAAACACCAGGGCAAATAGCAACTTGGAGAGGAAAGGGTTTATTTCCTTTTTACAGCTTGTAGTCCATCTCAGAAGGAAGTCAGGACAGGAACTCAAGGAAGGAACCTGGAGGCAGGGGCTGATGCAGAGGCCATGGAGGGGTGCTGCTTACTGGCCTGCTCCCATGGCTTGCTTTGCTCAGCCTGCTCTTATAACACCAGGACCACCTGCCCAGGGATGGAACCACCCACAGTGGGCTGGGCCAGCCCACATCAATCATCAATGAAGAAAACACCCCCAGACTTGCCTACAAGCTAATTTTAAAGAGGTAGCTTCTCATTTGAGAACCCTCTTCCCAGATGACCCTGGCTTGTGGCAAGTGACATAAAAGCATCAGCACAGAAGGCAAATGTCCAGCTCCCAGTCAGTCCTCACACTATGACAGGTCTAGCTGGAAAAGTGGCCCCCAAATCCCACCACATGGACCCACTCATTGTTCTGTCAGGAAACCTCCTGCCAGAGTCAGGCACAGTGGCACGCACCTGTTACCCCACAACTCAGGAAGCTGAGGCAGGGGAACAGCTGTGGCTACAGAGTGAAGCCTTTTCTATTCGTTTGTCTGGATGTTTATAGTCCTGGCTGTCTTGGAACTCACTCTGCAGACCAGGCTGGGTCTGAACTCACAGATCCCCCTGTGTCTGCCTCCCAAAGCTGGGATGAAAGAAGTCAGCCACCACATCCAGTGTGAGGCTCTTTCTCAAACATTAAGACAGAAACCAGACATGGTAGAGTGTCTGAAATCCCAGCATTCAGAAGACTGAGACAGGGGATTCACATGTTCGAGGCCAGCCTGGGCTAGTAAGGCTCTGCACCAAACATAAAACAAAAGATTTAATTGGGTATAGCTCAACGACAAATTTTTTGCCAAGCATAGTCTGGTCCTCAACAAAATAAACAAACAGGTTTCCCAAGAACCATCAATGTGGGAGATACTTAAGAATCCTTAGGGAACAAAACCATGGAGCCCAGTTGGGGGCAGAAGAGCAGGGACAGACAACAAACAAAATAGCTATAAAGGCGGAGCTGTGGAGAAAGCATGGCTGGCCAGGGAGGGGTAGGAACTATTTCCAACAGGCTGATCTACAAAGACTGAGGTGTCTGTCCTGCAGAGAGCTGGGGAAGAGGAAGTGAGTGTGTGGCTCTTTAGAGGAAGATGTCCCTCCTCAGGAAGGGACACTCCGTCTAGTGTCCTAAGCCAGAAGCTCCTCTGGTGTGCCTAAGAACCAAACTGGGAGGGGATGGGTGTGGGGGAGTGTACCAGACCCCAAGAGGCTCCAAAGAAATGGAAAATTTTCCACTTAGATGCACAATTGCTTAAAGGGGGCTGAAGAGCTTCGGATGCCAGCCCCAAGCTACATAATTTACGTGCAAGGCTAGCCTGGGCTGTATAGCAAGACCCAGTCTCAAGCAGGTGGGCAGGGCTAGAGGTGTAATTCAGTTTGGAGAGGGCTTCCCTAGCATGCACAAAGCTCTGGGCTCAATTCCCAGCACCATACACACCAGGTACACACACCTGCAGTCCCAGAACTTGGGAGGCAGAGACAGGAGGATCAGAAGTTGAAGGCTACCCTTAGCTACAAAGCAAGTTCTGGATTTGACACCAATAAACAGCACAAGAGACACATTCTGAGAAAGTCAGGACATGTCAACTAGCCACCTAGAAAGAGCATCACAAAGATGCCTTGAGACAGCCTCACAGGGGAAAACTATTGTTAGTCCCATTCTCGTCGATTAAAAAAAACAAAAAACACCTGACTCAGCAAGGAACAGTCACTTGCCAAGTGTCACACGTAGCAACTGACCTTTCTGAGATTCAAAAGCAAGTTCTCTCTGCTTCCGAAGCCCATGGAGCAGGTCCTCAGGAGTGTTTACTCTGTGCCAGGAACTGAGAATACGCACATCTCAGTGGTTTTGCATGATGAGCCTGGGAAGAAGAAAGATGAGCAAAAAGAGGAAATAAAAAGTTGAAGACGGAGGAAATGGTAACCCCAAGAAAACATAGCAGGTTAACGTAGGGCCAGGACCAGAACTCAGGTCAGCCCAATGAATGAAGACCCAGGAACTGCTACACAGCAGGCATAACCAGCCTCTTCTTGGAAGGCCTCCGTTAACACTAAACCAGAATTCTCTAGGGCAGCACAGTCACTGTTGAACTCAATTTCACCGCTCTAACACCTCGTTTGTTTGGTTTGTTCTCATTTGTTAAAACTAGGTCTCCTGAATTAGCCAAACTGGCCATGAATTCATAATTTTCCCGCCTCTACCTCCCAGGCTCTGAGCTTCTTCTTACTACTACCTTAAAAACCCATTTCAACCCAGGTGTTGGTGTTGTACACCTTTAATCCCAGCACTCAAGAGGCAGAGGCCAGCCTGGTCTACAGAGCGAGTGCCAGGACAGGCTCCAAAGCAAAACCGAGAAACCCTGTCTCGAAAAAACAAACAAAGAAAACATTTCCAGGAGGCCAGAGAGATGGCTCAGGGGTTAAGAGCACTTCTTGCTTTGGTTTAGCTCCCAGCACTCACACAGAAGATCACAACCACCTGTAAATTTAGTCCCAGGGGATCCAAAAGCCTGGGCTCCAAGCATGTGTGTGGTGCAAACATAAACAGGCAGGTAAACACACATACACGTAAAGATAAATGAATCTTCTCTTTTAAAAAGTCCATCTCCCCAGCTGGGTAGATGGTTTAGTCAGTACTGTGCAGGAAGATTTGAGTTCAAAGGCCAGGTGGTGGCGGCGCACACCTTTAATCCCAGCACTCGCGAGGCAGAGGCAGGCGGATCTCGGTGAGTTCGAAAAAAAAAAAAAAAAAAAAAAAAAAAAAAAAACCCTTCCCAAAAAAAAAAAAAAAAAAAAAAAAAAAACAAAAACAAAAACAAAGGAGCATGCATCAGCCACTATTTTAAATCTCTACTTCAGAACTCGGCAAGCAGCAGGGTGTCGATCTTCCGGACCGTTCTCTGGCTTTCTCCGGGCTCCCCCTCCTCTATTTGGGTTGGAATTCCCAGTTGCCACAGTCCCAATGCACTGAGCTCTTGGTGCGCCACAGACATTTCGTGGGGATCCCGCACGACGAACCTATGAGCCTGAGACTAGCACTGTGCCGAGGAAACTCGGGTGACACACAGGCCCAGTGCTGCCCAGTGGGGGGGGCGGAGACTCGAACCCACACCGCTGGCCGTGCTAGCCC